ACGTGATCCGCAAACCACGGACCACGTCGAAATTCAATACTCGCCGGTATCGATCGATTTGCGTAAGGACGCTGAGCAGTAATTTGCACGCGACATCGACAGTCAAAGAGAAGGAAAGGAGCAAAAGAGAGAAACGTTAAATCCGCGAGGCAGTCCACCGTGACGATTGAATTTCTGTCAGAATGCACGGCGTCCCGAGATACATTAATTGACTTCATTAATCCCAGAACACATTTATTAAATATAGAATTATCAGATATTTTTAACTAGCCGTGTCCTTTTCTACGAAAAACGTCTGATCAGATGTCTCGTTTTTCCACCCTTTATCCCGGATTTTTCGAGTACTATCTATGAGTAAGTGCACTCTATCTAAATGAGATATCCCTTTCTCTATCTCTCTTGCACACAGGGTGACGCAATCGCGCGCAATTCGGCGTCACGTATGTCATCTGCGTCATATTATCTTTCTCTTTCTCTCCGATTATCATCGTGTTTCTAATTCCCATTCAATAGATGCGACAGCTGCCTGATGCTACTGTTACTTGAGCGAGTCAATATTATTAGCAAGTGTAAGAGACTCGTCGCGACAAGCACCGGCTATATATTTCGAGAAACGAGAGGAGGAGTGTATGAAGTTGGCACCCCACTTTTCGAAAATCGAACATTCTGATACCGCAATAGATTGTTTTAGTTGTTCCAAACATTGTTCCAAATCCGTAAGTTGAATTATAAGTCCAAAAAACAAAAAAAATGATTTTTTGAGCTGGCACCCCACTTTTCGAAAATCGAACATTCTGATACCGCAATAGATTGTTTTAGTTGTTCCAAACATTGTTCCAAATCCGTAAGTTGAATTATAAGTCCAAAAAACAAAAAAAATGATTTTTTGAGCTGGCACCCCACTTTTCGAAAATCGAACATTCTGATACCGCAATAGATTGTTTTAGTTGTTCCAAACATTGTTCCAAATCCGTAAGTTGAATTATAAGTCCAAAAAACAAAAAAAATGATTTTTTGAGCTGGCACCCCACTTTTCGAAAATCGAACATTCTGATACCGCAATAGATTGTTTTAGTTGTTCCAAACATTGTTCCAAATCCGTAAGTTGAATTATAAGTCCAAAAAACAAAAAAAATGTTTTTGTCCTGGCACCCCATTTTTTGAAAATAAAGCATTCCGATACTGATATAGATAGTTCTAGTTGTTCCAAACATTGTTCCAAGAGCACAAATCAATAAGTTTAATTATAAGCTCGAAAAATTAAAAAAAGTTTTTTGACAAAAAATCTATCGGACCAAGAGTAAACTTATACTATCTTTCTTGTTCCAACCGAGATCTTTTTGTTCTGAGTTGTGCTAGGCTTAAGAATTATAGTTTTAGAGTATGAGACTCGTAGCGTCATCCGTTCTCCGAAAATTCGAAAAAAAATCGATTTGACAGCACCCGACATCAAGAGAAAACACATGCTTCCTTTCTTGTTCCAACTGAGATCTTTTTGTTCTGAGTTATACTAGGCTTAAACGACGAAGCAATTTCGCTTTATATTAAAACTATAATTCTTAAGCCTAGCACAACTCAGAACAAAAAGATCTCGGTTGGAACAAGAAAGGAAACATGTGTTTACTCTTGACGTCGAGTACTGTCAAATCGATTTTTTTACGAATTTTCGAAGAACGAATGATCTTGAGTCTCATACTCTAGAACTAAAATTCTTAAGCCTAGAACAACTCAGAACAAAAAGATCTCGGTTGGAACAAGAAAGATAGTATAAGTTTACTCTTGGTCCGATAGACTGTCAAAAAACTTTTTTTTAATTTTTCGGGCTTATAATTAAACTTATTGATTTGTGCTTTTGGAACAATGTTTGGAACAACTAGAACAATCTATATCGGTATCGGAATGCTTTATTTTCAAAAAATGGGGTGCCAGGTCAAAAACATTTTTTTGACTTATAATTCAACTTACGGATTTGTCCTTTTGGAACAATGTTTGGAACAACTAGAACAATCTATTGCGATATCAGAATGTTCGATTTTCGAAAAGTGGGGTGCCAGCTCAAAAAATCATTTTTTTGTTTTATTCGAAAACCGTTTCGAATGAAGCAATATCACTTTGGAACAATGTGGTACAAAGTCAGAACAATTTGGAACAACTTTCAAAATTATAAATTTCAAAAAGTGGGGTGCTAACTTCATACACTCCGAGAGGAGATTACTCTCTGTAATAATGTACTTACGATACGTCTCGACGATCGCACATCGCTATTCTCGACACTCCCGACACTTATTTTCGCGCGAGATTCATTTTCTACGGGTTAAAGACGCGTAAAATGCGGAGCGATGTATCCACGGCGGTTACTCTATGCAGAAAGATCGAGAATCAAGATGGTCGCGCGATTGTTGAATCGCGCTAAAAATATACGCCAATATATAAACGGCGCCGCGGCCGAAAAAAATGCGCTCTATGACATACTTCTCTCTCTGTATCTCTTTTCCTAACAAGCTGATGCAACCACCCGAATATCCCGTACCTCTCTTTTACTCTCTGGTTCTCATCGCATTTCTAATTGCCGTTCAATAAATCCAACGATCGCCTGATTCTATTGCTACTTGAGCGAATCGATGTTATTAGCAAAATGTAAGGGACGTCGGTACGACACGTCGCGACAAGCATCGGCCACATATACCGCGAAGAGGAACGAGAAAATTACTTACAAACGACGTCTTCACGATACGCCTCGGTGATCGCACATCGCTATTCTCGACACTCCCGAGACTTATTAACGCGCGAGATTCATTTTCGACGAGTTAAAAACGCGAGAAGCGCGAAACGATGTGGATCGATGTGTGCCCATGGCTGCTGCTTGGCGCGAAAAGATCGAGCATTTCGCGCGATTCATTGCCAACGCCTAGATTGAACAACCACGATAACAACCTCCTAGTGCGAAACGAACGCGATTGGTCTAGAGTGGTTAGTAACTCAAGCAAGTGATTAAGGCGTACGCCATAGAGATCGCGTCGTTGTAGACGCGCAATCCCGTTCGCATCACTGCCGCGTTCACATTCATGTACTTTTGGCACTTTCGGCGGGCTAATGAACTTTTGGTGTATGTGATTGACAGCGCGCGCGTCTGCGATCTTTTCATGCCGAGTAACTGCCATGGACACAACGCTCCGTATTCCATATGTCTTTCGCTTGTGTCCTGTGAATCTCCTGCGGAAATAAGTATTAGAGTGCCGAAAACAACGACGTGCGGTCGCGTCAGAGATGTCGCTTCCGAACGGCATCTCTGAGCGTTATCTAGGGAGAGGAGTGTCACAAACGTAGAGCGTCAGGTAGTTCAGTGGTTTAAGGCTCCTAGCCCCCCGTATTGTCTATCTCTTTTTTATGACGTCAGAAGCGAGAAAATGCATGTTAAAAATTCTTGCGAAATACGTTAAAATAAAAATATATATTCATAAAGTAACACTTGCAATCGAATAAACAAATTTGTAAGATATTCCGTGCATTCCCCTTTTGCTCTAACAATTGATAATTTGTCGTAAATTAACGTGACATACAATTCATCTTCTTAACCTATTTCTATTCAGATTAATTTACAATAAATTATTGATGTTAGAATATCTTACAAATTTGTTTAATTGATTGCAAATGATACTTTATAGATATATATTTTTATTTCAATGTATTTCGCAAGAATTTTTAGCATGCATTTTCTCGCTCCTCCACCATAGAAGGAGGAGAGCATACTAGGTGGCGGCGGGACACCGATGCGTTCGAGATCTGCGTGTATCTTTTCGTTCCAGAGGGAGAAAAATATCGAGAGCGCAGGTTCTGCTAAGGCCGGGACTCGAACCCGGGTCTTTTTTCGCTTGCCGGGCGACTGCTCTAAACCACTGAGCTACCTGACGCTCCACGCTCACGACACTCTCCTCTCCCCAGATAACGCTCAGAGATGCCGTTCGGAAGCGACATCTCTGGCGCGATCCCGAGCGCACGGCAACTACAGAGAGAAACAATGTTACTGTACCAAATGGTACAGCTGTCAGTTTCTCAAAGTCAAAGGTTGCTAACGTCATTAAAAAAGATAAACAATGCGAGAGGCCAGGAGCCTTAAAGCAGTCGTCCGGCAAGCGAAAGACCCGGGTTCGAGTCCCGGCCTAGCAAAACCGCGCTCTCGATATTTTTCTCTCTCTGGATCTCTGAAGATCTCTGGAACGCAGATCTCGAACGCACGGCGCCCCGCCGCTTAATACACCCTCCTCCTTCTATGGTGCGCAGGTAGAACATATCGTAAGTACATTATTACGGAGTAATCTCCTCCCTTCTTTACATATACAGCACATAAATACTTGTCGCGATGTGTCGAGTCTCTTAGGGCCTTCACACACAAATTGCCGTAACCGTGAGGGTGCCATTACATGAAGCCATTCCATTAGGGAAACGCGGAAATGCGGAAGATAAAATTTTACTAGATCCGCTACACGTTCTGCGTCTGTTTTGATTGCCTAATATTACATGAGGCATATTTTGAGCGAAAAAGCGGAACGGTTTGGTGACAAATAAACATCTGTATTCATTTTTAAAATTGTATTCACTTCATTTACTGCAATTTTTACTAATATGTTTATCTTTTCAGCTTATCTATTGAATACAAGCATTTTAATTAATAAATATCGTTAAAAATTAATATTTTATAATTCCCCATACCGCTTTTCCGCTCAAAATATGCCTCATGTAATATTAGGCAATCAAAGCAGACGCGGAATGCGTAACGGATCTAGTAAGATTTTGCCTTCCGCATTTCCGCGCTTTATGTAATGACACTCTAACCATAATATGTAAACTTAAGCTGAAGAACCAATTAGAATATTGCTATAGATTTATGTATTCCAAAAGACTATAAAAGTGACACCAAGTTTTATGTTACGCAGAAATAACTAGATTTCAACCGATTGAAATAGTTACGGTTACGGCAATTTGTGTGCGAAGGTCCTTACACTTGCTAATAACATCGATTCACTCAAGTAGTAACTGGATCGAATAATCGTTGAATTTATTGAATGGAAATTAAAAACGTGATGATAATTGGAAGGAAAGAAAAAGATAATATGACGCGGGTAATATATGGACGCCGAATTTCGTGCGATACGTCAGCTTGTTAGTGAGAGAGAGAGAGAGAGAGAGAGAGAGAGAGAGAGAGAGAGAGAGAGAGAGAGAGAGTGGGAGAGAGAAGTATCTTATAAGCGCATCTTTGTCAGCTACGGCACCGTTCACTTATTAGGCGCATTATCGACGTGCTTTATCGACCGTATAGCCATCTAGATTCTCGATCTTTCTGTGTCAAGCAACCGTCACGGACACATCGATCGACATCGCTCCATGTCTTTTATCTGTTGAAAGTGAGTCTTGCGCGGAAATAAGTGTCGGGAATGTCGAAAGTAGCGATGTGCGATCGTCAGGACGTATCGTAAGTACATTATTGCGGAGTAATCTCGTTTTTCGAAACGTATAGCCGATGCTTATCGCCACACGGACGTGTCGAGTCGACGTCTCTTGCATTTGTTAATAACATCGACTCACTCAAGTAGCAATAGAATCGGGCGATTGTCGAGCTTTTTAAACGGGAATTAGAAACGCGATAATAATCGGAAGAAAAGAGAAATATAATATGACGCGGTGATATATGTGTGTGTGACGCCGAATTTTGCGCGGTTGAATCAACCTGTTAGTAAGGGAGAGAGAGGAACACACACACAAGGATACTTTATACATATAGAGTGCGTTCTTGTCGATCGCGTCGTTCACATATTGGCGCGCATTACACCCAGTAAACAAAGTATCATCGATGTTACAATGTCAACTCAACATATGGTATATTACTTTGTTACATTACAAAGTAACAGTTACATAATATAATATATAATTGAGCTGACATTGTAATATGGATTATACTTTGTGTTTACTGGGCACTATCCAACAAAAATTTTGTTGAATGACATGCAAAATGTGATTTTAATAGTTTTTTTCCGTTGATCATGAATCTGAAATTGAAAGTCGGATTTATTTAAAAAAAAAAAAAAAAAATATATATATATATATATATATATATATATGTATAAGACATCCTAGAAATTCGACGAGTAGTTTAAAAGAAAGCTTGAACCTTAAGCTACAATTTCAAAATGAAGATAAATAAGTACCATAAAATAATTTTTTTGCAACACAGATTTTCTAAATAATCTATTACATATTATTTAATTATAATTAAAGAATTATAATTATAATTAAATAATATGTAATACATTACCTAGCAATTGTCTAACATCAATAAATTAACTAATCAATTAAATAATCATAGGACTTTGGCGTTTTCCAAACAATTAATCTGAACAGAGAAACAGTGCAATGTACATGCATATGTACATGCAATGTACATAGTATATGCATACGCTGTAAATGGTGCGCGTTTAAAAACCCTCTTGCATGTCATTTAACATGAAAAAATTCAAAAATACTATAAGTGTAATCAGCAGGAAAAATTATAATATTTCAGATATTTATATATGATTAGTTAAGTATTCAATTAAATATATTTAATTAATAAAAAATATTATATATAACGTACAATTCTTTAAAAAAATATTTCATAAAATATTTAAATACAATATTTAAAAAAGCCTGGGTGTGTTACACGGAAAAAAAGATTTGGTTGAATTAACCAAATATCTGGTCGAATATGAATGATACAAAAATTCCGATTGAAGTAACCCGAGTTCTGTTTAAGTTAACAAGATTTTTGGTTGACTTAAACAGAATTCGGGTTATTTCAATCGGAATTTCTGGATCGTTTATATTCGGTGATTTGGTGAATTCAACCAAACTTTTTTTTCCGATGTACCTATGAGCAATGAGTAAATCTTCCAGAAACCGTTAAAAAAGAAGATCAAGTGTATTACTCTACTGCGTAATTACACGTAACGCATGAGCGAGCAGAAAACATCAACATATTAAACCTCAAACTGTCAAATTACGACTGTTTTCGAACATCATTCCCGATTTCTTTCAGATATATGATAATCGTAATTAATGCATATAATGAAAGGAACACGGCTAATTCAAAATATCTAGTAATTCTAGATCCAGTAAATGTGTATGTTAGAGCACTGATGAAACCGCGTATATGTAGCACGCTTCCGGAAATCGCTTACGGGAAGGCTAAGGTCGATTCGTGGCCCATCAATACACCATAAATAATCATTGCTTCATGAATCTACGATTACTCGTCGATTTACACTTACTTCGCGCGAATAATATCCTTAGCAGCGCGCGTTAGTTGGCCAACGGTTGGCCGCTGTAGATTCTACATTGGCTATATTCCGTTTTTACTGGCAGTACTACCGAAATGACGTCATCGTAGTACACTGCCGCAGCCATTCCGATATCACTTCAGTACTGCCAGCAAAGCTGTGACGTCGTATCTCGAAACGGCATTGCAGTACACTGCAAAAGTGATGAGATCGTTATAACTACGATCCGTGTGTAAAACGAAACGGAAGTGCACGACAATTGCAAAAGCGGATAAAAGAGCAAAGATTTTAGTATGCTCTTGGCTACCATTGAGGCGTTATGTGGAAGTACAGGTGATACTTCTGAAAATGAACTATTAGAATTTATTTTTGTTAAGTTCGACCATAAAAAATTATTTGAGTACTATAAACAAATATTTTAACGTGGAATTTAGAATTCAAAACTTAGAATTTAATTAGAATTTTCGATAATGTGAACGCGTGCGCGCTAACAAAATATTCTTTACCTTACCTATATTGGAGAAAAAATGAAAATTTTTAAAAAAATATTATTTCTTTTAACAACAGTTAACTCTCAATTGTAGTGTATTGTAATACATTTTATTTGTTTTTCGGCATCTAATAGTTGAATTTCTTCATAAAATTGTGTGACACCATATTTTTACTGCGACTGCTTTATCTCATGAGCTGTAATAGTCGTAGTGGCAATATCCATTTATAACGTCATTGATGGATGCTGTCTCAGTGCACCGCATACTAATAACGGAACGACTTTTCTATACTATCAGTACTAGCAGTAATATTAGGGGAAGGAGGGAGGGGGAGTTAGGGAATATAGCCATTATATAGATTCAACATTGACCCAATACTTTGTGCTGCTCAGGATCGATCCAAACAATTCATGAATACGAATCTGTAATTAATCGAAGATCAAATCTCTCAGTCAGAAGAACTATATAAATAATTTGTAACTGTAAAAATCTAGTCTGAAATACTAATTATATCTCGCTGTCAAAGACAGGCAATTAAAGTGAATTATCGTAAAATAAGTAGGTTAACTCCCCTCTCTCTCTCTCTCTCTCCCTCTCTCACTTTCTTTTATGTGGCATACATGTTTTAGGCATTCTTAATCTGCCATACTGAAGTCATTCTCGAGAGACGAGACTAAATTTACATTACTAGCATAAAAGTGCTAGTAAAAACCTATAAAAAGTAATATTCAGTATAATGAATACTACCTACTAAGTCTTGAACCCGTTTTTCTAACATCCTGCAGAAAGAATTCTCTACTCTGAATCGCCGAGTGAATATTTTCACTCGAAATTGAAGAGTGAATCTGATGGTTAGGAACATATTTACTCTAATCGATTAAAACATTCACTCATGTGGAGACGGAATCAATAAGCTAGAGAATCGCTAACATTTACTTTTACGATTTTGAGTGGCAGTATTTTCACTATTATTTCCAGTGAAAATATTGTCGCTTTTCACTTGTTTTGAGTGAGATTCCATTTAGAGAAATTTAGAGAGTACAAGAATGATTGACAAAGAAGAAATAGAGAGAGAGAGAGAGAGAGAGAGAGAGAGAGAGAGAGAGAGAGAGAGAGAGA